CGGCAGGGTGGGTTTGTGCGAGGAATCGTTTTTGCGGTATCCGAAGAAGGTAAATAGCCTGGCAATTCTCCGCAGAGAGAACCGGTGAGCCCGGTTAGTGAAACGCGAGAAGGATCTGAGTTCCTGGAATCCACCCGCCATCCCGGCGGAGCGGGGCGCTCGCCATGTTGCAGGCCGAGGTCTGCACTGCCCGTCGCCACTCTTGTGCGGGGGAGTGGGCAAAGGCATGTTGGGAACAAACTTTTAACCAAAATTACAGGGTGTCAGCTCTTGGCTATCTTGACAGAATGCAACTTGTGAGCTGGGATGGTTTGTTTATCAAGAGATAGGACTCTGGGGAGACTCTTTGGGCCTATTAAAACCCTAATTTAAAACTTAGCTTAGTTAAATGTATTCTCTGGGGATTTTAAGATGTCGTGTGTAAATGTTTGTGAAGAAACTTCAGGCTTATAAATTCTCTCATAAAACTATAGCACATTTTATTTCATATTGTTTATACTCTGAACTTGGCTCGTGTGGTAAACCTGGACTGACACCCATGGGGGCAGCACTTAGCCTTTTCTGAAATTACTTACTTCTTTAAAATGTTGGTAGGAACTGATAGTAATACAGTAAACACTTCTCAATCACTCAAATCTCCAACATTATTTTACCTGGCAGTTTTCCATAGGACAAATTGTACCCCATCATTTGCGCTGCTGTAGGTTTTCAGCTGAAATGCTTTTCAGGAGTCCCACTGGCAGCCGAAGATCCAGGATGCGGCATGGGCTGTGCCAGCATTACATTCTGGGGAAAATAAATTGGAATTAAAACCAAAGCAAAACAGAAGACCCCACCCTCCTCCTGCCAGCATGGAGAGGAGCTTTCTGCGATGAGCATCCTCCAGAATTCCCAATGGAAGGGCTGAGGCGTGCTGGTGTCTGATCTCTGGATACTGCACAGCTGTTCTGCTATCGAGGTCTTCATCTTCACTTACAGCTGGGCATCTGCTGCATTGTTGCAGGCAATCCTGCCATGTTAGTTTCTGTAAGCCTATCAGTTTCACTGTTAAAACTACTTCCCTTTCTCCACCTCACTAACAGAGCTGTGCTGGAGCTTTATTGCTGTCATATTTAGCAATGTTATTCTAGTTTCTAGCCTGAATGTCTCTGTGGCCACTTTCTGTCTCATATAGTCTTGTATCAGTGCCTTTCATTTGAAGAACCCGTCTCCATCTCTGATACTTAGCCCTCTGTGTGTTTCTTATTCTACTGAAACTTCACTTACTGTGATGAAGCAAGCCCAAAACCTTCTCATATTTCTGTAAGACTTGAAGATACCAGCCCTTCTCTGTATCTGCTCCAGTTAAGGTAATCTTCCTTGAATCCCATTGACAAATACTGTGCGCTGTTTTACAAATGAGGTTTAAAAAAAGCTTGTGGTGGTTGGGTTCCTTGTCACCACTAAAACACCTCATCTAACATTTTCTGGGATCTCACTTCCTCAGTTCCTCCTTTTGTCTGCACCAGGTAGGTAGCAAACGGCTCTGACACACTTTCTGTCCCCTCGATGCTTCACAGGGATCGATGCCAGTGTGTAGCCAGCTTGCTTGTTGTCCTTAGCTGCATGATCTTGTGGGTTTTTTGTGCCAGCAAACTTCAGTTCAAGTTTGTTAACTTCTGTAAAAATATGTCTTGTCTTCCTTATTTTGATTTCTTCAAAAAATTTGGACCAAACTTTGCAAAAACCTGGCCAAGAATGTTTTCTTAAATTGGTACTGCATTTGATAGTCTCCAGGCAGGTATTTCTACACCACCCTTCTCAGCTTTAAAAACAGGTTAGCGTTCAAGTATCTGCAAACATACCACCCCAGTTACTGCAGTAGGTGAAGTTTGTCTCCTAACTGCCAGAACATGCTGGTTTAATGGTTTCATGCCTTTGTTATGATCTGCCACTACAGCTGGTTTCCTATTCCTTGGTAAAGGCCCTTGACCTTATTCCTGACATCTCTTGCTTGGATGTCTTCTTTGTTTTTCAATCTTGGACATTTCAGTGATGGATGCCTGAGAGTTTATAATTTCTCACTTCTTGAAGTAAAAAAAAAATCCTATGTAATTATGAGAGGTGTGTGTATAACTTTATCCCAATTTGCTGGGTACATTATCGAAATTTTAAGTTCCTGTTCCTTTCTCATGGTTTTGAATGAAGTGCTTCAGAAGCCAGCCTACTGAAAAGCTGCAGAATCTAATTTATGCTCTGATGGCATTGTTCCAAGTAATTTTGACAATACTGATTTGTAAGACTACGTTCCAGATTATTGCTTTACTCTTGCAGTGTGCAAATGCATTAATTTTTCCATGCTTCACTTTCTGTTTACAAGTTTTGATATGAAAACTAGCAAAATAGTTCAGATTTCAGCAATTACACTAGGCCTGACTGCCTCTCTTATGGGAATGAATAGGTGATAAAATTACTGAAGCCCTTTTGCAGACCTAAACTTGTTTTATGCGATTATCACTGTGTTATAAACTGCGTTGAATTGTCACTAGATGGCAGTAAAGGAAATAATTACATTTTAAGTGTTAGAAATTTTAATTCTGATGTTTTAAGCTTTTTATTGGTTTAGCTTCTTGTCTGGCATTGTTTGCTCTGATAATAACTGGGGTCCCCAATGAGATTCTCAGGGCTATTTTAGATATTTTATTTTCCCTTGGTCTGAGAAACAGTAACCTATTGCTTTTTTGCTGTTGTTTATAAATTGCAGCTATCCTTTTTTACCCAGGAGGCACCGAGATCAAAAGAATATGTGATTTTATGAAAAGATGCATATCTATCTTCATATGCAAATAAGATGCTTATTTCCCTACTTTTCAGAGTTCCTTTTAAGTCTGCGTAATTCCTGGTCCTGGTCCCTGGAAAGCTCCCTGCTCTCAGGCTCTTCAGGCAAGTGCTCTCCCAGGTCCTCAGTCCAGAGAAGTTCATAAAGCATCAGTTGTGTTGCCTGGGATTTGAGGCAGTGCGACTGCTGGCTCCTGTGTTCCCATGCTGTAACCCTGGGAAATATGGCAGCGTTTGATGGAGCTGGGGTTTAAATCTGTGCTAAATGGACTTCTCATGTACTGTCAGTTACTCTAGGTCCAAAAGGGATTTGCTCTAAATCCTGTCAAAAAAGGCTTCTTCCTTTTTCCACCTCTGCATCTGTCCTTTTAGGTGGATGTTGTCACTAAGAGACCATAAAATGTAACAGCAGGTAGTATCTGTGAATGCCTCTTCATGTACAGACAGCCCCTACACTCTCCAAAGGTTTTATCTCTTGTTTTACATCAGAAAACTGGCAGATGTTTTCTGGCACTGGTGAGAAAGCTCCCTTGCTGCAGGGGATCTCTGCCTAGCTGTCTTCTGGTCTCTTCTTCTAGCTTGTACTGTTGGCGTTCCCGTCTGCATCCTGTGCTTGACTGTCAGCAGAGACAGGCCATCCACAACATCCTTAAGACTCTCAAGCCCCTATTCAGTGTGGATCAAAATTCAGTTTCCTTCCTCCTTGTGGGTGGTATTTTGGTTTTTGGGTACTGTTACTTGAATCCACTGGGCTCTTAGTCTGACTCTTGGCATTTAGCCTGTTGTTTTATAGCTGAAAACTACTGCAGAGGATGGACTGCAATCACTTGGACCAGAAATGGCTAGTCACTGTCACAGAAGGCTCTGCCTGGGCAGGCATGTTTCTTAGCATCCAGGCAATGTGTTACAGTCCCCAGTCTCTGATGGACTCACCAGTGCCTGTTGGGGTTTGATAGTGTCAGCACTGCTCCCGTGCTTGTCTTGCAACTCGACTGCTCAGGTGCAGGTCTGCTTATCTCCCCAGTCTATGCAAAACCTGTGGTTGCTGAAGCAGCCTGGCTGCTCGGTTGCTGGGCTCTGTTGTCCCTTATGGATGCAGCATGGGAAGGCGCTGCGTGGGTGACAGCAGCAGCATCCCATCTCGTACACTTTTCAAGTCAGTGCTGCTTACTTTTAGCGAATCCCATACGGGCTTGCTGATTCCTGCCCAGAGTACTGACCATGGGGGATCCCTGCCACATGCATCTTCCTGGCCAGTGAAGATGTGACCACACTCTAATTGCCCAGGGAAATCCAGGTCACCTGGAAGCCATACTGGGAGCTTGCTTGTTGTTCCTGCAGACCAATAAGGATCAAGCCTCTGAATGGATATCTCTACGTCATCTTATTCCTGATGGTTTTCATGTTAAAACATGTTCAAAAAAATCCCGACAAAGTATGGGTTGGAAAAAGAAAGCAGCAAACTCTTCACAAATGTTAACCATGACAGCTAAACTACATTAGCAGTGTTCTGTATCCTGCCTTGCTGGCACAGCTGAGCTCAGCAGAGAGGCTTTGGTGCGTGCATGGGGTGGAGGTTAGAGACAACACCTACTGAGGGCTGCCCTAATTATGTGCTAAAGACTTTCCCTTATGCTGCTGTAGTTTGGAACTTTAAAGTCTTAAACAGGTTTGTGCAGAGCAGCAGAGAAGTGCAGCCACGATGGCCCCTGCTGCATGGAGCTGGTCATGTGACAAAATTTTGGGATACACAGAGATGATCCTGCCTTAGGCTCACCAGTCCAAAGGTGTTTCCATAGTTTCCTGCCTAAGTCTTACCAGGCTAAGGGGTACTGTGGTAGACAGAGCACTTGGAGTAGCGTGGCTTCATTATTTACATGGTAGGGTGGGTGAGCAAGGCTCATTGGAGTAAAATCTGGTGTATCCCTGTACTCCAGAAGCTTCATTTTTTTCTGATAAAGACCACTATATTGCAGACTCTAGGAGTAAGAAGAAAGTTATCACATATGGAGAATTCACCCTTTTCCATGTGTTCTTTTGGAATGGGAGATGAAGACTGCCTTCTCTTTAAAGAGTATTTTAAGTTATTTTATAATTGTTCACTGACTATGGACTCTTGATAGTGGCTTTTTTACTTGTTTGAATGTGGTATTTCTGTGCTGAGCCGGGTTGGTTTTCTGCTCCTTGTCCAGTTCTCCAGACACTTTTCTTCTGACCAATTTCATCCTAACTAGCTGTCTCATTCTTCCATATAAATATATTCTGCTTGGATGGTTTTGAAGATGCACTAGAAGCTGCTCCTTTATTCAAGTAGCTTTTAAAACCATTCCCCTAAAGGCTGTCAACTGCATTAAATATAAGTACATACTGTTTCACAGATGAGGTAATCTTTTACTGCTAATGTTGATAGACTGGTTTATATGCATGACTGATAAAACCTCAGATGAGAAATAATAGGCTGCATGGCAGACTTCAGTGTCATATGGGTAGGGAATGACTGTATAGTTTTTCTAATGACTAAGGCTTTAAGTTGCCTCACTGTTTAAAGAGATTCTATATCCTCAACTCTAATTGCTCTTTTTTCATCTTATTTACAACTTCTTAAAAATGAGAAAATCCTCTTTGTGAACTAGACTAGATATTCTAGGTCACAGGGCTGCAGAGTTTTAAGTGATTTTTTTTTTTTTTTTTTTTTTTATTTGGGCACATAACTTTTTGATGTGTGGCTTCCTGCCAGTCAGTCTGCGTTCATCACCATAAAGTTTGGTAAATGACACAGTTAATGTAAACAATAGAAATGTGAGGCAGTTTATTAAATTTGCTGTTGGCTGGCTGCAATTATGTTCTTTTCTGTTGCCCATCAGAACCAA